AGGGACACCCAGGGTCATCTAGTCCAACCCCCTGCAATGCAGGAATCTCAGCTAAAACATCCAGATGGCTACCCAACCTCTGCTTTAAAACCTCCAAGGGTGTAGAGCCCACTGCCTCCTAAGGGAGTCTGTTCCCCTGAAACAGTTCTTACTTTCAGAAAGTTTTTCCAGATGTTTTAGTCTTGTAATTTGAAGCCACTGGTTTGAGTCCTGCCCTCCAGAGCAGCAGAAAACAAGCTTGTTCCCTCTTCCATGTGACAGGCCTTCAGATATTTGAAGATGGCTATCATATCTCCTCTCAGTCCACTCTTTTCCAGGAAAAACATACCCAGCTCCTTCAACCGTTCCTCATCAGGCTTGGTTTCCAGACCCTTGGTCATCTTGGTCTCCCTCCTCTGAACACCTTCCAGCTTGTCAACATCCTTCTTGAATTGTGATCCTCAGAACTGGACACACTATTCCAGCTGTGGTCTGACCAAAAGAGAATGTGACAGCCCTTGAGCTATATCTGTAGGTAGCTGAGATCACCTTGCCGGCAAAAGTCCGTATAGTTAAAGCTCTGGTTTTCCCAGTAGTGATGTATGGAAGTGTGAGCTGACCACAGAGAAGGCTGATTGCCGAAGAATTGATGCTTTTGAATTATGGTGTTGGAGGAGACTCTTGAGAGTCCCATGGACTGCAAGAAGATCAAACCTCTCCATTCTGAAGGAAATCAGCCCTGAGTGCTCACTGGAAGGACAGATCCTGAAGCTGAGGCTCCAAGACTTTGGCCACCTCATGAGAAGAGAAGACTCCCTGGAAAAGACCCTGATGTTGGGAAAGATGGAGGGCACAAGGAGAAGGGGACGACAGAGGACGAGATGGCTGGACAGTATTCTCAAAGCTACCAGCATGAGTTTGACCAAACTGCAGGAGGCAGTGGAAGACAGGAGAGCCTGGTGTGCTCTGGTCCAGGGGGTCACGAAGAGTTGGACTCAACTAAACGACTAAACAACAAGCTGAGCTGTTTTGGGACCCCTTCATATTTTGGGGGGGCCTCCCCCCCACATGCAGGACTCAGGGTGCTTCAGCGTGCATTGCAGCAACTGGCTTCCTCCCAACAGCAGGGTGTGGGCTGCTTCGACCTGGGGTGCAAAACGGTGCCCAGCTTTCTCCCTACTGTGGCACACTCGGGGGGGGGGCACAGAGGGCTTGGTGTGTGGCACATGGGGTGCAGCATGGCATGCTGCCTTCTCCTGACCACGGCAGTGATGTAACAAGCACTTTGTGCATGTGTGTGGGATATGATCCACGAGAGGCAGTCAAGTACAATATTCCTTGTAATGTTAGAGAAGACATGCGAGGGAATGTTTGGTCCAGCCAGTCGAAACTTCCTGTTCGCCCTGGCTGGAGCATCCTTCCTTTTGCATGTGATAGAAGCTGAGGCTCCAATACTTTGGCCACCTCATGAGAAGAGAAGACTCCCTGGAAAAGACCCTGATGTTGGGAAAGATGGAGGGCACAAGGAGAAGGGGACGACAGAGGACGAGATGGTTGGACAGTGTTCTCGAAGCTACCAGCATGAGTTTGACCAAACTGCGGGAGGCAGTGGAAGACAGAAGTGCCTGGCGTGCTCTGGTCCATGGGGTCACGAAAAGTCGGACATGACTAAACGACTAAACAACAAAGAAGGTGGGTGTGACCTAACCTGTCCAGGTAACAAAAGGATGAGTCACTCAGCACACCTGTCTCTTTTTGACTTCTTTCTTCTTTTGACCAGCTTCTAGCTAGGACTGCTCTGCCAGCTCTCAGCTAGCAGAAGCACTGAGATTATTCCCTCATATGGGGTAGATACACATGTACATATTTGTAACTAGGTCTGCCTTCAGGAATCCAGCTGTGAACTGATGTGAGTACACTTCTTTTATTGCCTTTGAATAAGATTGTGGCATCTTTATTCTTTTGAGAGGGATTCAAGGGAACTTACCAGTAATGTACAATTCAATCTGAGACAGTGAGGTAGTAAGAGGCTCACACGAGCCTGCAACCAGCTATCTGCTGTGCATATAAAAGGGGGAATGTAACTCTGCTACATAAAGGAACTTACTAGTGCAAGTTAGGAAGGATATTAATAAACAATATATCCTCTCCTGCCACCCTGAACATTCCCACAAAGTGATGTCACAAGCGCTCATCGCATGCCTGCAACTTTGGACCTCCTCAATCTTTGGCTCAAAGTGGCACCTCTGCAGTCGCTTGACATCATTACGATTGGAAACTGGTCCTTAGGGGTGTGAGGATTAAGGACGAACCCAGTTCCCCAGCCTCTGTTATGAAACTTCTCTCTCGACTTTTGAGTCCTCCATAGGCCTGTCTCTACATGTTGACGTACCTGATGGAGAGCATCCCAGCCCACCTGCTTTCTGTCTCCGCCGTCTGGCTGATTAGAACTGGCTCTCTTCAAGGCTGGCAAGGCTGACATGCAGCCACCAGCCAAAGCTAATTCCTTGCAGCTTCTCCTTGCCAAAACTTTGAGTGATTACAGTTGACTGCTCCTCAAGTTGCACATATCACTATTAAGCCGGCCGTCCATCTGCAGCCTCTCGCCCAGCGGTGAGATGATTCTTAGCGCTCTCTCTCTCTCGCTTTCCTGGACTTAAATCGGGTGCAGAAGTGTGGTTAAATCACCTCCGTGTTCTTGGCAGGATGGAGGAAGGCAAATAGTTTGCCAAGCGCTCGCAAATGGTGCAAGTCAAACACTTAGCAAATGACTGCCTGTGATCTCGTGAGATGAGCGTGGACAGCTCTCCATCGACTGGGCTCTTTTCTCCAGTCAGCAAAAGCGCAAGCAAAGCGCTACCAATGAGTGGACAGGGTGCAAGCAAAACGCTGTCCCCTCGCATGACTCAGCAGGCGACAAAACCGTCTTCCGTCAGTCAGCAGGGTTTGAGAGAATGATCTCCATCTGCAGCAACCTTCATAAATGTCACAAGCCAAGCAGTAAAAAGAGCTGAACGGTATCAAGGAAACATACAGGCACACACAAAGAAACACGAACAGTTTCGCAAATGCAGAATGTTTGGGAGTGGTCAGTATGGATGGGATCTAGGTCCCCTTACAACAAAGCTTCAATCCTTTACCTGCAAGGATGGAGTGTATATGAGGAAGCCCTTCAAACTACTCCCTTTGTCGAGGTATGGTCTTAACTCAAGGTGGCGAATAATAATAATAATAATAATAATAATAATAATAATAATAATAATATATTATTTATACCCCGCCCATCTGGCTGGGTTTCCCCAGCCACTCTGGGCGGCTCCCAACAAAATATTACAATACAACAATGCATCAAACATTAAAAGCTTCCCTAAACAGGGCTGCCTTCAGAGGTCTTCTAAAAGTCTGGTAGTTGTTGTTCTCTTTGACATCTGATGGGAGGGCGTTCCACAGGGCGGGTGCCACCATCGAGAAGGCCCTCTGCCTGATTCCCTGTAACTTGGCTTCTCACAGCGAGGGAACTGCCAGAAGGCCCTCGGAGCTGGACCTCAGTGTCCGGGCTGAACAATGGGGGTGGAGACGCTCCTTCAGATATACTGGACCAAGGCCGTTTAGGGCTTTAAAGGTCAGCACCAACACTTTGAATTGTGCTTAGAAACGTACTGGGAGCTAATGTAGGTCTTTCAGGACTGGTGTTATGTGGTCTCGGTGGCCGCTGCCAGTCACTAGTCTAGCTGCCACATTCTGGATTAGTTGCTGTTTCTGGGTCACCTTCAAAGGTAGCCCCACGTAGAGCACATTGCAGTAGTCCAAGCGAGAGATAACCAGAGCATGCACCACTCTGGCAAGACAGTCTGCGAGCAGGTGGGGTCTCATCCTGCGTACCAGATGGAGCTGATAAACAGCTGCCCTGGACACAGAATTGACCTGCACCTCCATGGACAGCTGTGAGTCCAGAATGACTCCCAGGCTGCGCACCTGGTCCTTCAGGGGCACAGTTACCCCATTCAGGACCAGGGAGTCCCCCACACCCAGGTCTTTCCCTCCTCTTTAATTATTACAACAACCCTGTGAGGTAGGTTAAGCTAAAAGGCAGTGATTGACCCCAAAGGTCACCCAGTGAGCTCTTTGGTTGAGTGAGGATTTAAATCCAGGTTTCCCAGGTCTGACACTCTAACCACATTGGCTCATCTGAACCGCCACCCTCATTTACAGGCTTCTTTTCAGTTGAAGGAAAGGGCAAAGGGGTTAGACAAGTGGTTTGCAAATGTTTGGGGGCTACAGCCCACCGCTGAAGAAAAGCAAATACATTTCCTACCTCTTGAACTAATGCATGTGTTACTTTAAACTACACGAGGGCACTGTTTGTCTAACTCAGTGGGGTCCAAACTTTTTTCAAAGAGGGCCAGATTTGATGAAGTGAAGGGCCGTGAGGGGCGACCAAAGGGCTGACCGAAGTTGTTAACCTTTTTTTAGGACTGAAGTTGTTGAGGTTTTTAGGATTTTACCCCAGGAAATAAATTGCCACAGGGACTGGATTAAACCCACTGATGCACCCCCCCCAAAAAAAGGACTTTGGACATGCCTGGTCTAACTTGCTTGTAGCTTCTTCATCAAAGTTGCCTCCGCCCCTAAAAGCTGAGTTGTGTTTTGCTTTTTCTCTCGCCCAACTTGTTGAGACAAGATGTCTGTTATTTCTCTCTTTCATCTCTACTCAACCTGTGAATGCCTCCTGCATGAATAAAGCCTTTGAATCCCAGTTGCAAGTGATCATTTCAGTCCAGTTCACCAAGCCGCAAGCTCTCCTAACATCCCATTCATTCCATTAACTCATTCCCAGTGCCCCCTTACCCTGCTCTATAAAAACCATTGTTCAGAATAGCGGGTTGCAAGACCCACTAAGGAAGATACGAATGAAAACAAAAGTCAAAACAGCAACAATTAATTATACATTTATTCATAACCAAATTAAAACTATCTAGTGTAATTCATTAAAGAAAACAAATGAATTGGATGCAGTGGTGTCAGTGAAAGTCATCTACACTTCTAGCTCTCTGCAAGAATCTTGGTTCTCCTCTCTGCATCCTGTGGTAGGGCCACTGGCTCTGAATGACAGCATGCACCAGTGCGCTAATATGGCGTTCTCTGGCCCACTTTCATTCCTCAACATCATGCCTTCTGTCATTCCAAACCGAGATCACACCTTCCTCCTCGACAGCTCCATCATTCACACCCTTCAAGGTTTGACAGGAGAAAACAGACAGTGTTTTGCATCCACTACAAATTTACAGTATGGCAGGGAGCGAGCCGCTTCTCTATTAGTTTGGGGGTGGGCGGTGGGGGTAGGGACAGATTGCTTTCATTTCAGCACGTGTCTTCAAAGGCAAGCTCCAATGATGTGCCTCTTTTAAGAACATAGGAAGAGCTCGCTGGATCAGGCCAATGGCCTACCTAGTCCAGCATCCTGTCCTCACAGTGGCTGACCAAATGCCTGTGAGAAAACCGCAAGCAGGATTCGAACAACAAGAGCAACTCTCCCCTCCTGTGGTTTCCAGCAACTGGTATTCAGAAGAAGAGTTGCTCTTGGGTTCGAATTCTGCTTGCAGGTTCCCCCCCTGAGTCATCTGGTCGAGCCACTGTGAGAACAGGATGCTGGACTCGATGGGCCATTGGCCTGATCTAGCAAAGGCTCTTCTTGTGCTCAAAAGCCTTCTGTGTCCTCTCAGCCAAAGGGAACCTAACGCCACCCTTGCAAATTCCTATCGCGTGGAGAAATGGCGAAGCATGCAACAATATCTGCGTACCATCGGCTGTGGTGAGGACTGCAGGGCCTGCTCCCTTCCAAGGCCTTTTCCAACTGGGCCAGGCCCTCACACACCCAGCTACAAAAGGACCCCTGGGGCAGTGCCTAGAGAGTGGGGCTGGACTCATCTGGAACAAACTCTTGGGGAAGTCCGGGGTTGTTCTGCTATTGCCTCCCTGTTCCAAGTGTCTAATGTGGCTTAAAATGTCCTTAAGCAGTCGGTGGCATTTTAAGCATCTCACAGGGGCCAACCAAATGCCTGCGAGAAAACGGCAAGCAGGATTCAAACACAAGACCCTCTCCCCTCCTGTGGTTTCCAGCAACTGGTGTTCAGAAACATTGCGGCCTCTTCAGAGGCGAAGCAACCTGCTCCAGTACCCGGAGCGGCGCTCGTCCCAGAGGGCGTGGCGTGCGTCCCGGAGGGTGCCGCCGATCAGGGGTCAGTGTCAATTACTTCCTCCTGTGGCAGGGAGTTCCATAGTTTAACCATTTGCTTTCTTTTATCTGCCCTGAGTCTTCCAAAATGCAGGTGCACGGGATGTTCATGAGTTCTACTGCTGCGAGAGAAACTTCTCTCCAGCCTCTCTCTCTAGGCCACACATTTTATTCCCTTCTATCATGTGGCCTGTTACTCGCCTTTTCTCTAACCTGAGAAGTCTCGAATGCTGCAACCTTTCCTTGAGCAAGTGTATTGCATGTTGCAACAGATCCACAATGTGGGGAACATTAATGGCACAAAAATGGAAGCAAGACGAACTGCCGACAAAAGAAGAACGGAGGGTGAAGTTGATGGACTATGCAGAACTGGATAAATTGACAGGAAGGATTTGAGACCTGCGGAATCAGAGATTCTTAGAAGACTGGAGTAAATATATGAATCATCTGAAAAGTAATTGTGACGAACAGATTACGCTAGCAGCATTGCAAAAAGTTTTGTAAGGTGGATTATTTGAAATACTGCAAGAAAGACTATGAAGAGAATTATTAGTTAAGGACAATGAAATGTAATAGGAAATTAAGTAATGCAGAATAAGTGATAAAGAATGGAAAATCATCAGAGGTGTTGACGGAAGTCAAAAATATTGTATAAGATGTGAAGATAAGTTGTATGACTGTTGGAACTGATATGTTAAAAAATCAATAAAAATGTATATATAGATATTTAAAAAGATCCATAATGTGGGGAGGCTCCTGCATGGATTGATGATGCACAATGCACAAGTCTCCCCACATTATGGATCTATGCAACAGATCCATAATGTGGGATTGTGCGCATTCAATCCATGCAGGAGCCCCCCACTCCAGGGAGGAAAGCCCCTTCCCCTGCAGACAGAGGGGGGAAGCTCTTCTCACCTGACGGATCGCTCTCTCCATCCCTCAAACATCAGATTTAGATGCTGCCTCCGTGCAAGAGCTTGTCTGTGAGCCGGGTACACGGAGAGCCACGTGTTCGGGGTCACGGAAAGGCCACGGCAAAATGCCACTAAAATTCAGCGCTGATCACTACCAGAAAGGTTCCCTGCTGCCGGCACCTTTTTTAAAAGGCACTTGCAAGTGAGCGAAGCCGTCGGTTAGCACTGGAAATGTTATTCCGCAGCAGGAAAGCAGCGGCAGCAAGCTGTCAGCCCGATCGTCAAGGTTCCCAACAGCTCTCAAAAGTGCATACCCTCAAACGTTTCTACAATTAAAATAGGGACAGCCTATTCAGTTGTTGTTGTTGTTCTTAATACTCTGCCCATCTGACTGGGTTGTACAACATACAGTCATACCTCATGTTACGTTTGCTTCCTGTTATGTTTTTTCAGGTTGCGTCCTGCGGCGACCCGGAAGTAAGGGAAAGGGTTACTTCCGGTTTTCACCGCTCACACATGTGCAGTAGCGCCAAATCGTGCTTCGCGCATGTGCACAAGCACCAAATCGCGGCGCGCACCTGTGCAGATACATCGCTTCAGGTTGCGGGCTTTTCACGTTGCGAATGGACCTCCGGAACGGATCCCGTTCGCAACTAGAGATGCCACTGTACAGTCGTACCTTGGATCTCGAATGCTGTGGCTCCCGAACAAATCGACTCTCAAACAATTGAAACCTGGAAGTAACTGAATGTCTGGTGGGACTTCTGCAGCTTCCGATTGGCTGCAGGAGCTTCATGCAGCCAATCAGAAGCTGTGCTTTGGTTTCCAAAGGTTTTGGAAGTCGAACAGACTTCCGGAATAAATTCCGTTTGACTTCCAAGGTATGACTGTATATAAAAACATAATAAACATTAAGCATTTAAAAAGCTGTTTGACAGTGGGACAGATTCCCTCGGGAGGTGATGGACTCTCCTTCCTTGGAGGTTGTTAAGCAGAGGTTGCATGGCCATCTGTCCTGGGTTCTTTAGCTGAGATTCCTGCATTGCAGGGGGGTGGCCTAGATAACCCTCAGGGTCCCTTCCAATTCTACGATTCCCTGGCAGGGAGAGACATTTTGCGGTTCACCTCCGGTGCCCAACTGTCTTGGGTTGGCCCTGATGGTCCCCATATATTTGCTGCCCCCCCCTTTCAGGTTTGCAGTTTCACAGGGAGTATGAAATCCTTGAATGCCTTTTTAACCTTTTCTCTAAATGATGCCAGAAACCTGGGAAGGCAATTTGCCAGCATCTTGACTCTGGCACCCACTGAGAGGCAAAATAGAAAGAAAGAAGGAAGCTTAATTCTTTGTTTTCAAACTTCTGTAACTACTTTCATCATCACCATTAATCATGTGTTGCTTCCGCAGAATTTTCAGCCTGCACAAAAGCGATTTGCCAACCTCCTCTCCGACACCCTCAGAACGCAACTCCTTGACAAGTTTCATTAAGTTTCCTATTTTACAGATGAGGAACTGAGAATTGTAAAAACAGAGACATGGAAGGGACTCGTCAGGAGAGCCTGGCTGCTGAATCAGGCCAGTGGCCCACTGAGCCCAACATCCTCTTCTCAAACTGACCGACCACTTGCCCCAAAGCGAAACCCGCAAGCAGGATTCGAACACAACTCTCCCCTCTGGTGGTTTCCAGCAACTGGAATCAAGAGGTGGGAATGCGGGGATAAATTCAAGTCAGTTCACATTTAAAGATCAACCTGCCTCATTCACCCTTCCTGAAATAAAATGCAAACTGAAAGACAGACGCCCTTTGAAATCCGCCCTTTTCTGAATTTTGCAGCACAGTCCTGTAGCTGAGTAATGTGCACAAAAATGCATATACTTGGGGAACTGTGGTGCAGTGGTTAGAGTGCTGGACTAGGAACTGGGCGAACAGGATTCAAATCCCACTCAGCTATGAAGCCCACTGGGTGGTCTTCTTTCAGCCTAGCCTACCCCACAGGGCTGGTGTGAGGATAAATATGGAGAGAGGCAGAAGAACGACACTTTGAGTTCCTTGGGTGTGAAAGGTGGGATATAACTATGAATAATAAAAATAAATCAAGTGTGTGGTAAAAAATGCATATGCTAGTGAAAAAGTAACATACCAAAATATTAGGGGAAATTGCATACCAAAATGTGTCTGCTAGAAATCTGCACTAAAATGCTAGTGTTTTGTTTTTTTAAAATGTATTTTGTGTTTTTATATTGTGATTTTATGTTGCGACTACCCTGAGACCTGCGGTTATAGGGTGGTATACAATTTAAATACATGTGTACATTTTCATGAGGACTAGCAGCCCACAGTATAGTTAAAGCTCTGGTTTTCCCAGTAGTGATGTATGGAAGTGAGAGCTGGACCATAAAGAAGGCTGATCGCCGAAGAATGGATGCTTTTGAATTCTGGTCCTGGAGGAGACTCTTGAGAGTCCCATGGACTGCAAGAAGATCAAACCTCTCCATTCTGAAGGAAATCAGCCCTGAGTGCTCACTGGAAGGACAGGTCCTGAAGCTGAGGCTCCAAGACTTTGGCCACCTCATGAGAAGAGAAGACTCTCTGGAAAAGACCCTGATGTTGGGAAAGATAGAGGGCACAAGGAGAAGGGGACGACGGAGGACGAGATGGCTGGACAGTGTTCTCGAAGCTACAGGCATGAGTTTGACCAAACTGTGGGAGGCAGTGGAGGACAGGAGTGCCTGGCGTGCTCTGGTCCAGGGGGTCACGAAGAGTCGGACACGACTAAACGACTAAACAACAGCAGCAGCAGCCCACAGATGATGCGGAAATGTAGAGGACTGAACTTAACACTGGGGAAATGAGAAACTGGGAGAGCTAAAAACAGATGGATCCACCATCCTTAGAATCAGAGGCCACATGGTTGAAATGCTTGCTAAAATAGGTGGTCAGTGCCCCCTTTCCCCCCTCCCCCACGATCAGCCCACATCATTCATGTCACTGGCTGCCACACCCAAAAACATCAAACAACACCTGTGAAGCAAACATGTCCTGTGATGACCCACAGATATGGGCCACAGGATTGTCACTAAAGGTAAAAAAGGTTCAAAAAGTAAAGGATCCCTGGATCCCAACAATGACTATGGAGTTGTGGCACTCTTCTTGCTTTCAGGCCGGGGGAACTGGCGTTTGTCCACAGACAGCTTTCAGGGTCATGTGGCCAGCAGTACTAAACCGCTTCTGGTGCTATGGAACACTGTGATGGAAACTAGAGCACACGGAAACACCATTTACCTTCCTGCCACAGTGGTACCTATTTATCTACTTGCACCGGTGTGTTTTTGAACTGCTAGGCTGGCAGAAGCTGGGACAGAGTAATGGGAGCTCTCCCCATCGTGGGGATTCGAACCACCAACCTTCCGATCGGCAAGCCCAAGAGGCTCAGTGGTTTAGACCACAACCACCCGCATCCCTTAGGGCTGTCACTAGCCCTCGCTGATCCCAGCTATGGTAGTCAGCTGGGCCACTGAGTCGTCTCAAGGGAAAATATTGCTGAATTACCAGCCAGGAGTCGTCTTTTGCAAAGCTCAGCGCTGGAGCACCCGGAGCAGCGCACATGCCGTGCACCTGGGGGCGGGGCGATCATGCCCGGGGGGATTTTGTCACCCCCCCCAGGATGACCCCTGGGGTGGCCCGCCCCCCGCCCTCCCCTTCCTACACCCTTGGAAAAGCTTATCTTCGCCATCCCTTCTTTTCTTTACTTTTTGGGTATGCCATCTTCCCACAGTTAAAACAATGCTCAAGGCAGCTTACAATATGAAAAGACTTACATAAATGCAAATATAGCAAAGTAGTCATAAAAATGAATAAAACTCATTGAAAGCCACATAACCCAACTGAACAATTTCCACATAAAAAGAAAGACACAAAAAGTTAATATCAGCAAAAACTCCCGACCAAACTTTCCCCAAAATACCCCAGTTCTTGCTGGGCAGGCGCTGTCGCCACAGTCCTGATGAGCCTTGCCCCAGGCCAAGAGAAACAGTTGCTTTCTCCCCTCTGAAATATCACTGCCCCTTCCACCTTCTCACCGAAGGTCCGATAGAGTTTCTGTTGCCACGGTGTGATGCTGGTCGCCTAGCAACATTCCGATGAAATTAGTTCTGGAACTATTTATGGGAGGAACAATACTCCCGGCCACCTCAGTTTGGGTGGGTGTGCCTGGGAGGCGGGTGAGAGCGGTGGAAGGTGCCAGGGATCGTTAGGAAAGGAATCGAAAAATATGAGCATCGGGATTATAATCCCGACGGATCTCTGGCGCGGCGGCATTTGGAGACGGGTGTACCTCTCTGTTTGCCTCACCTTAGAAAGGTGGGGAAGGTTTGGGAAAGGGCGACCGAAATGATCAAGGCGATGGAGAGAAAAGTTGCAGCATTTGGGATGTTTTAGTAAAGCGGGAAGCAAAATGATAGGAGTTCATAAAACCATGGAGAAAGCAGATTGAGAAAAGGGGTCCCCCCCCCAACATTATAACTGGTGGAAGCTGAATGTTGGAAGAGTCAGCACAAATAGAATAAAGGACACAGTTAACTGTGGAACTCACTGCCACAAGAGGTAGTGGTACCCACCAAGCTAGATGGCTTTAAAAGAGGACTGTACAGTTGGGAGGGACCACAATCTGGTCCAGCCCCCCTTGCAAAGCAGGAATCTCAGCTAAAGCATCTACGACAGAGACCATCCGACTTCTGCTTAAAAGCCTCCAAGGAAGGAGAGTCCACCATCTCCTGAGGGAGACTGTTCCACTGTCAAACAAAGCCACTTCCACCCTGCAAAGGAGGTGGGGTTGCGGGCTTCATGGCCTCACCACGTGCGCGGCAGCTGGAGCCCAGCCCCCGCGAGATTGGGGGAATCCCCGGCTGCGTCACCCCCAATTGGCTAGCTCTGGGGGGTGTGGCCTGCCCTATTTAAGGCAGCTGCAGCTGGGGATCTCCCTTTTTTGCCACCTACCAACTGTTCCTGTTTTCCCACCCTCCCGCCCTCTAAGGTTCTCGTTCCTTGACCTTGCTATGGACTTCGGTTGGTCGCTGTTGAGGGGCCTGGTAGGAATTTTTTCCACTTGGCAAACTGGCACCAGCCACTTGGTTTTCGACTACCTCATAGCAAATCGTCACAACTTTCTGGTTATTGGCGGTTAGGCATTGGAATAGTTCTGTAGATGGAAAGAGGGGAGGTAGCGCCATCACCTGTCCCGCATATTGAAGGGTGGTCCGGTTAAGGATTCTGGCGGGCGTGGCCCTGTCCGAAGGCATGCCCCCTATCACACGCCCCTATCGCACGCCTAAGGCACGCCCTCTATCGGTGACCCCGGGGGAGTTCCTAGTTGATGTGCATCAAAAGGACTCCCTCTACTGGTGGTTAACCCTTCCCAGACTTCAAGCGGACGGGCTGAAGTCAGATATAGTCGGTTAGGACCAATGCCTAAGCCAATACTTGTAACCAATAAAGTTGTGGCCTTTTTTAGCCCATTAACCTTAATAATTGTTTCATGTGTCTTTATTTCCACTGGGGGGGGGCGGGAATGTGCCACGCAACTCTTAGTGTCAGAAGGGTTTTCCTGATGTTTAGTCGGAATCTCCTTTCTTCTGACTTGAAGCCATGGGTTCGAGTCCTACCCTCCAGAGCAAGAGATTATAGACTACTGATGGCCCCTAACCAGGATGTTTCTGTTCTGCCTCCACAGTCAGAGGCAGCGATGCTTCTGAATGCCAGTTGCTGGAAACCGCAGGATGGCTATTGTGTTCAAATCCTGGTTGTGAGTTTCTCATAATGGGTTGGCCCCTGAGAGAACAGGATGCTGGACTGGAGAGGCCACTGGCTCTTTTGAGGTTCTCATGTGGAATGAAGTCCCCTTGTCTCATGCAATACTCCTCTCCTTCTTGGCGGAAAGCTTTGCCACCGAAAATGAACTCCTTTGCTCTCGCATATTGCCTGCCAGCTGCTGCTGCTGCTGCTGCTGTTGCTCCCAGCCACCACCTGACGGAAAGTGTATCTGATCTACCCTGTCAGCTCTTTGAAATGAAGTGTCCCACACTGCCGTGAATTGAAAGGAAACATGAAAACGGCAACTCCCAAAGGGGAGCGATGAGGAAACAAAGCCCTGAGACATGCCTGTCAACAGCCGGTTCTTGCAAAAAAGGCTGTGAACAGAGAAGATCCACTGGCGTCAAGAGGCCAAGCCTGCGGGAAGCGTGGGACAGAAGAACCAGCCAAGGGGATACTTCTGGATCTGACCCCGTCACTGTCGACTCAGCCAGCCACAATGGCTAGGAGGGCCTTTTCCCAGTTCCGGCTAGTACACCAGCTACAACCCCTTTCGGATGGAGATATCCTGGTCGTTGTACACCAAAGAATCACAGAACTGTAGAGCTGGAAGGGACCCTAGGGGTCATCTAGTCCAACCCCCTGCAACGCAGGAATGCATGCTCTGGAAACTTCCAGGCTGGACTCCCACAATGCGCTGTGCATGGGGCCACCTTTGAAGATGACTCAGAAATTTGGTCCTAAATGGAGCAGCCGGGTTGCTGCCTGGGGTTCTATGTTGATCTCATACAATCCCCATTTTTTAAAAGGTTGCACCAGTTGCCAGCTCATTTTCAGACCCAATTCAAGGTGCACATATTGGTGTCGAAAGCCCTAAACCAGAGGTCAGCAAACTTTTTAAGCAGGGGGCCAGTCCACTGTCCCTCAGACCTTGTGGGGGGCAGGACTATATTTTGAAAAAAAATAAAATGAACAAATTCCTATGCCCCACAAGTAACCCAGATATGCATTTTAAATAAAAGCACACATTCTACTCATGTAAAACCACCAGGCAGGCCCCACAAATAACCCAGAGATGCATTTTAAATAAAAGGACACATTCTACTCATGTAAAAACACGCTGATTCCTGGACTGTCCGCAGGTCGGATTTTGAAGGCAATTGGGCCGGATCCAGCCCCCAGGCCATAGTTTGCCTACCCATGCCCTAAACGACTCAGGCCCCAAATATCTGAAAGCCCACCTCCTTCCCTATAGATGACTGTTTCTCAACCTTGCATCCTCAGCTGTTGTTGGACTACAAATCCCATCATCCCTGACTGCTTGTTCTGCTAGCAAGGGATGTTGGGAGTTGTAGCCCGATGACAGCTGGAAACCCAAGTTTGAGAAACACTGCTAGACCCTCTCAGGTGCTGAGATTGGCAGAGGGCGGCCTCTTGGTAGTTCTTCCACCCTTAGAGACTTAGGGGGGCATCCCTGGAGGGGGGCATTCTCTGTGGCAGCCCCTGTGGACCTCCTTCCCCATGGAGTTCCCCACCAGGAAGAACTTTCTGAGGTTGGATAGCCTCCTCTCATGGATGCCTGTAGCTGAGAGTCCTGCATTGCAGGGGGTTAGACTAGATGACTCTCAGGGTCCTCTTCTATAGTCTTCTATAGCCTTTATAGCCCTATACAGCCTAGGACCCTCGTACCTATGGGACCGCCTCTCCTGGTATGTCCCACGGAGGACCTTATGGTCTTCAAACAAAAACATCTTGGAGATCCCGGGCCACAGGGGGGTTAGGCTGGCCTCAACCAGAGCCAGGGCCTTTTCAGCTGTGGCCCCGATCTGATGGAACGCTCTGTCATGAGACTAGGGCTCTGCGGGACTTGACATCTTTCCACAGTGCCTGCAAGACAGAGCTGTTCCACCAGGCCTTTGGCCAAGGCACAGTCTGACCCCCTCCTTCTGTAATCCTCATAGAACTCTAGCCCAATGGTTGCCATTAATTTGATTCTGAACTGATTTTAGAATGTATTTCAATTAATTGATTGTGATTTTATGTAAACTGTGGTTTTTTTACTGTTGTCTGAGCCTGGCTTCGGCTGGTGAGAGCGAGACATAAATAAAATGTTGTTATTATTATTATTATTATTATTATTATTATGAAGAAGAAGCACACAATTGGGGTTGCAGTGCAAGTCAGGCCCTGCCTGAGACCTTCCATCCCCCTGCCCCACAGAGGAGGAGGAAAGGATTAGCACATCCTCTGGCCCAGGAACCTTCTGAAGTCCAGCAAATAGCAGGACCACCATGCATGCTCTAAAATTATTTGGTGAAACAGCTCCACAAGGACGTTCCTCTACCAGCTTTGCTGACCCATCTCTGGTCTGATGATGGATCCAGACTTCCAGAAGGGAATCAAGTAGTTTTATTTGTATTGCATGGCCTCCCACAGCAATGGGGAAGCCTCGGGAAGGGACCACCAATAACCTTTGCCATCGCCCAGCTCATTTGGCCGTGTGTGTGTGTGTGTGTGTGTGTGTGTGTGTGTGGCAGCAGTCCTGAAGAACATGCAATCCGGCCCCTTTCTCTCTCCAAGGCAGCCTCCCTACTGATTTCCTGATTCAATGCCATTTTCTTGACCCACGGACCATTAAATTGAAAGAACATGAGAAGCATCTCCCGGCCTAGCTTTTAATGGAGAGAGGACCCCCCCTTGCTCCCCAAATGGCCAGGAATACCATTCTTACATTTCGTTTTTTCTTCTTTTCCAGCCGTTGAAGCTTTGCACATTGATACGAAAAAGCTATTTTTTCACAAATGGAAGGAAGACCTACAAAGAGCAACTACAGCAAGTTCTGGGACAGAACAAGCCAAACTTTACTAAGTTGTCGCCTCATACGCCAGCCAGGAAGTCAAAGAATCATAGAAGTGTAGAGTTGGAAGGGACCTCCAGGGGTCATCTAGTCGAACCCCCTGCAATGCAGGAATCTCAAGCATCCGTGACAAAGGGCCATCTAACCTCTGCTTAAAAGCCTTCAAGGAAGGAGAGTCCACAATCTTTGGAGGGAGTCCATTCCACTGTCAAACAGTTCCTACCGTATTTTTTCCCCTGGGTTTTTTTTAAAAAAATTATTTATACTTTTCAAGTTTATACATTTCACTAATTCTACAATCCTTTTGACATTTCAAAAACTGGCTTCCTCCCCGCTCTTTCTGCAGTTCCTTACATTTATTTTTAACATCTTCTGCATATCCAAATTAACTTAATTTGTTCATTTATTCATCTTCTTTAAATACATCTTCTTCAGAAACTGCAGGTTATTACAATAGTCCTGCCAATCTTTTTATCTGTTTACCATTTATCTGGAAATATTCAATAAACTATTTCCTTTATTTTATATATATATATATAAAAGTTATCTTGATTTCTTATTCTTCTGGTAAGTTTTGCCATTTCTGCATATTCCATAAGTTTTTGTATCCGTTCTTCCTTTGCTGGAACTTCTTCCTCTTTCCATTTTGAGGCAAGTAACATTCTTGCTGCTGTAGTAGCATACATGAATAAATCTCTATATAATTTAGGTAGTTCTGTCCCTATAATTCCCCAAATTCTCTTCTTCCTTTCTCTTACAGTATTGCACAGTACGGCTTATGAACATGGTTGTACACGGGGCAGGGACTTTTCCCACTTGCTTCTTCTCTTGAGATTGGACCAGGTTGACTCATCAGAGTGATAAACATAGAATTATAGAATCATAAAGGTACAGGGACCCCTGACCATTAGGTCCAGTCATGACCAACTCTGGGGTTGCGGCGCTCATCTTGCTTTACTGGCCGAGGGAGCCGGCGTACAGCTTCTGGGTCATGTGGCCAGCATGACTAAGCTGCTTCTGGCGAACCAGAGCAGCGCATGGAAACGCCGTTTACATTCCCGCTGGAGTGGTACCTATTGCTCTACTTGCACTTTGACATGCTTTTGAACTGCTAGGTGGGCAGGAGCAGGGACCGAGCAACGGGAGCTCACCCTGTTGCGGGGATTCAAACTGCCAATCCAAGAGGCTTAGCGGTTTTGACCACACTGCCACCCGCGTCCCACATAATTGTATAAAATGCCCACAGGACAGGGCGTTTTTATGGGGCAATGCCTCAGAAAGCCTTGAAGATGCTTATTTTACCTAAAAAGCTGAGCACCGTTTAAATGCAGAGCTTCTCTGCGGGTTCTTTTCCAAGACACCTGTGCGAAAACAGGATATGACGCTGGTGACAAGTGCTGTCCCAGACATGAAGGCATCCTTGCAAGGCAAGGGCCAGAGTCAATCCACACCTCAGCTCATCTGACAAAGAGGAGAGACTCAGAATTAATCAGTGGCTGCCAGCCAAACAGGAGGGGCTGTCTGCATTATTGCCACTGCAGCAGGCCACATAATCTGCTCCCTTCTCTTACCCTTTGACGGGCATCCCAGCAGTGTAGTAGCAGAGAGTGTAACAGCGCCGTGTCAGTGTCACTTCCCTCTGACACCTCTGAAGGGCCGAGACGGAGGAGTTCAGCTGCCAGTTATGGGATGCGACGCACTGACATCTCCCCCACCCCACCCCCTCCCGCCGGCATGTGTCACTCAGGAAATGACATCTTCCTGCTCTGTTTGCTGATGAAAGGAGGCAGGAGGATGATGCAGGCAAGGTGGAACTCCCATCCACAGGTGCGCTAAACCCAACTCACAGGTGGCAGAATTGCAAGGGACCCCCAAAGCTCATCTAGCCCAACCCCATACAAGGCGGAAATCACAGCTAATGGAAATCCAGATGTGCTCGTCACGGTGTGGTTCACGGGTGATCGAATTCCCGGCAGGGGACATCAGGACCGAGGCCAAGATGGTGGGGTGGGAGCAAGAACGGGGGTCCAGAAGCCAGGAATCAGGAAGCCAAGAGTCCGAGGGTCAGAGAGCCAGGAGTCAAGAAGCCAAGGGTCCAAGGATCAAGAAGCAAGGAGTCAAGAAGCCGAGGTTCAAGGATCAGGAAGCAAGAAGCCCAAGGCAGGAAGTGTGTTGCTGTGGCAAAGAGCCAAGGGGAAATGCTGACCTTATATCCCTTCCCGGCTCTTGCCACCAGGTGCTGTGAGTTACCAATCGGCCTCACCTGTGGGATTGCACCTTGCCTCTTCAGAACAAACTTAGGAAGGCCCCAGTCCTGCAAAGTCCCACTGGTCACAGGGCCTGGCTCCTGTACGCACTCCGGACAATGCTTCTCCTTCCTTTCAGCCGAGAAATCACCACGTTCCAGCTAGGAGTCAAGGAATGTACCGAATTCTTTCGTGTATAAGACACCCCCGATTTTGGGGGACTCATATTTAAGAAAATGGGGGGAGATAACTCAGAGTTGTTGAGCTATTTTGGGGGGGGAGGATTGACAAAAACGGCTCGCCTGCACGCAGCACAAAACTCGCCTGCCCCCTCGCTGGCAGAAGCTGCCAATTGCCCGCCCAATTGCCGTAGCGTCAGCCAATCAACACCAGCCCATGACGCAGCAACCAATAACACGCCCAACAGCTGCTGACAGCCATGGCAGCAGTCAATCAAATGTCCACCCTATGCACTATCCATGTATAAGACGACCACCACTTTTTAGAATAACTTTGGAAGACAAAATCCTAGTCTTATACAGTAGTACCTTGGGTTAAGAATTTAATTCATTCTGGAGGTCCGTTCTTAACCTGAAACTGTTCTTAACCTGAGGTACCACTTTAACTAATGGGGCCTCCCGCTGCTGCCACTGCGCGATTTTTGTTTGCATCCTGAAGCAAAGTTCTTAACCCGAGGTACTATTTCTGGGTTAGCGGACTCTGTAACCTGAAGCATCTGTAACTTGAGGTGCCACTGTACACGGAAAAGTATGGTACATTATTCATTCATTCATTCATTCATTCATTCATACCCCGCCCATCTAGCTGGGTTTCACTCTGACTGGCTTCCAACAAAATATTAAAAATACAATAAAACACCAAACATTAAAAACCTTCCCTAAACAGGGCTGCCTTCAGATGTCTTCTAAAAGTCAGACAGTTGTTTCTTTCCTTGACATCTGATGGGAGGGTGGGCACCACCACCGAGAAGGCCCTCTGCCTAGTTCCCTGTAACCTCACTTCTTGCAGGGAGGGAACCGCCAGAAGACCCTCGGAGCTGGACCTCAGGGTCTGGGCATTGTTTGATACCCCCCCCCCAATTGCACCATGTTAATAGACTGTGCTACCTCCAACACCCATCACTAAGTGATAGGGGAAGCCAACTCTTTGCTGGGGATGAGCAAATCTGCTTATTTTGGTTTTTCTCAGTTTTTCATCTTTCCAGGCTTAAACTCAGTTCACTGACCAATTCAGTTTGTTTTTTTAAATTGACACGAAAATTTCACCAGCGTTTTCCTGCGAATTTCTCCTAATGCTGAGGTTCCCACCGGGGGAACAGCCCACGGGGGGGGGGCAGCAATTTGATTTTTAAGAAGGGCAATTTGAGAATGAGTTAGACCAAGTTAAAGACCTTTTAGGCTTCCTCCACGTGAATAGGAGTTCACTTTTTGAATAATAAGAATTATATATCACAAGGAGGGGGCATCAGGATTTTAGAGTTGCTTAGGTGATGCATTTGTGTGCAATTTTGCCTAAGCAACACATTTTTTGGACAGCAAGATCCCCTAATACGATGCATTTTTTCTATATGCTCCACAATCAATGTGTTTTTATCTACACTTTGTCCCAGGAGATGCATGTTTCCCTGCATGTTTTGAACGGAGAAACCCACATCTCCTATAATATATGAAAACAGCAACACCATTTTTGTGTTTCTGGCTGTCAATCTCCGGTTGCAACGTTTGGCCAGTTAGCAGGCTTACTTCAGAACTAAAAGCTGAGAATCGCCTCCAGGCTGCCCAACTTTCCTTCTAAGAGGAGTTGTACGTCAAGAAAACATGCACATAAGTCTTATTCCCTCGGCAAAAAGAATCAATACCAAAGGGCTTGTCCCTGCTTTCGCTTGTGCCATGCCTAGAAAGTGAAGGTCTGAGCCGTTTTCCCCTTGCTCTGCTCCTTTCCAAGGGAAAACCCACTCCTTAGTGATAGATTAAAAAAATGCAGGAAGAACCAGATGCACAAATATAAGATGGGGAGATCTGGCTTACTAGTAATACAGGTGAAAAGGATCTGGGAGTCTTAGTAGACCACAAGCTTAACGCAACAGTGTGATGCAGCAGCAAAAAAAAGCTAACACTATTCTAGGCTGCCTCAACAGAAGGCTAGTGTCCAGATCAAAGGAAGGAATAGCCCCACTATTATGCCTTGGTCAGCCCACACCTGGAGTCCCGTGTCGAATTCTGGGCACCACAATTTAAGAAGGATGTTGACAAGCTGGAAGGTGGGCAGAGGAGGGAGACCAAAATGATCAAGGGTCTGGAAGGCAAGCCTGATGAGGAATGGCTGAAGGAGCTGAGTGTATTTCCCCTGGAAAAGAAGAGGCTGAGAGGAGATGTGATAGCCACCTTCAAATATCTGAAGGGCTGTCACATGGAAGAGGGAACATGCTTGTTTTCTCCTGCTCTGGAGGGTAGGATTCGAACCCATGGCTTCAAGAAAGGCAATTCAGACTAAACATCAGGAAGAACTTCCTGACAGTAAGAGCTGTTTGACAGTGGACCAGTCTCCCTCTCAGTAGGTGGTGGGCTCTCCTTCTTGGAGGCTTTTTAAGCAGAGCTGGATTGAGGTTTGATGAGGCCCTAAGCTACTGAAGGTAATGGGCCCCTTTATATGTCCAGCTGTCCTTTGTCAACAACAAACTTTTTTTTTGTTTTTTGTGTTGAATATATGCTAGAAGGTAATTTATGGACCTAATAGGTATCTAAAGCCATTTGCACATGTTGCCGTGCAACCAGTCCATGCAGAATGTAGGCACCCTATATATAGAAAGGAGCAAACCAGTGATATTTGAGGGAGCAGGCTAGCAGACGGGGCCCATGACTTACATCCTAGGAGCCTACACAACACAAAACGCTGTTGCTGTATGTAGGTTTTACTTTATTTGTTTTTTATCTTAGATTTTGGAAATGTACACCCAGTTTCTTTTCCTTTAAATTTTTTGAGGGTCCCCAAGAGAGTGGGGCCCTAAGCTATAGCTTGTTTAGCTTATACGTAAATCCGGCACTGGTTTTAAGTGGAGGTCATCTGTCATGGATGATTGAGT